TTTTTTTTTAATCACGCGCACATCCTTTACGATGTATACCGTTTTCACACCGAAGGGAACACTGTCACGACGTCGAGGGATTCTTATGCAATTCCTCTGTCCCTCGACGCTCCTGTCCGGATTATCTTCTTTCCCTCCCTGCTCGAAGGACACTCACGATTACATGCAGAATCGAAAACTAATACCCACTCGGAACGATTCACGCGTAAACGTAACCTCTACAATCGTTCACGGTTTAGTCCGCTACATATAGCAGGGAACAAGAAAGACCATTCCCAGATTAAGGTGTAGTTGGGTATTACGGGTAATTAAAATGTGTACAACGGGATGCAATTTCGCTTATGACGATTGACTATAACGTTTCATCCGATACGCCTTCGCGGATGGTCGTTTTATCTCCGTAGAACAAGCTAGGTGCGCGCTGCATCCTTTTGGATTCGATTCCCCGACAGGATCTCGGCGAGCATCCACCGAATACAACCACCCTGCCTCTCTATGCCCCGGTAACGAAGCACTTTTTTTCTCACACCGACTCGATCACCAATTCTTTTCTCCCGCACTGAAAACGAGGTTACGGTGTCCCGATCGCGTTCCGATTCAATGACACCACGAAGTTACGTTTGTCGAGGAACGTCCTTTCTGTTTGCCGCGATGTCGATGATTGTGAAAACTATCGGCGAGGATGGGTGTGAACCTGTGCGTGTTAACCGACGGCGGCAGCAGCCCTGACATCGCTCGACGTATGGTGATCTTCAGCCCTCACCGCCAAGCGGCGACAGCGGCGGACGCTAGGCGGCGCCAGAGTTGCTCTCGCGCCGACCAACCCCTCCATCTTCGAGTTTTCGATACACTACAGATGAGCATTTTTCTTTACATAATAAAAAGACGAATAAAACCAATGTGCAACGATGTACTCGCGATGTTTGCTCGATTGAACAGATAACCTCTGGAGAGACGAATTTTTAATGAATTTCTCTTTGCTTTAATTGAATACGCACAAACCGAAGCAATTCTTGTCTGTAAATCGATTTTAACATATGTATAAATATGCTGTCGCGCTTTAATACAGTATATTTTTTCATTCTAAAAAGTACTGCGATCGTAAGTAATGGTAACCGACACGCTACCGCGTCTCTAGATTTTATATAAAGGACAACTTAAACATATATGTCAATATCCCTCAGGAGGTTAAAATAATAAGAGGACAAAATAGTAATACATTTATCTGGGTTTTTTTTTGTAGTTGAATGTAGTCGAGTACTTTACAAAAATAATAATAAATTGTTTTTCCCTTGCTTATTGAATGTATATAAAATTTTGAATTATGGAATCAAATATTTCAATTTTATTCATATTACGTTAGAAATAAGTGTGATTATTTAAAATGATTATTATTTATTTGTCCGCTAAACGCGTCAATATCCATTGTAATACATACGTATACAGGCTGTACAACATATGTAAATATGAACAAAAATTTGAAAAGAAGAAAATTGGATCGTAATAAAGATAATGGTAGTAAATGCGAAGCTAATAAAGTTATGAAGGATAGTTGTAACACAGGGTAAAACGACAAAGAAGTAAAAAGATCGAACTTTTAATAAATGAATGTAATTAACAAAATGGGCGATTGAAACGACTCGATTGGAATGTTTTCTCCCGAGTAAACAAAGGAAATGGTCCCGTTTCGAGAAATGCGGGGAATAGGACCATGCTAGTGGTTGATCATCCCCCACAGTGCTGGCGCTAGAGGTACCAGCGCCCTGGTGTAATGTCTAATTTAAACTTTTATGCTATCAATCTTTGGTCTTATTGGAAAAACATATAAAAATATACCAAGTGAGGTACGTAAAGTTTGACGAGAAAGTATACTTTCAAAACTATTAAATTCAAAAGATGTTATTACACAAATAACCAAAATTATAGATTATCTATTTTGGTATTACAAACGCGGATTATTATTACGAACGTGTCAATCGTCAATTTTTTAGTATTACATTCGGTGTTGTAAGCTTCTTCTGTCTAATTTTCTGTCGTTTTACCGTTTATGTTAAACCAGTCACATTTATTTCCAACGATAGGGTACAATTTAACTGTAACAATTTTGTTGCCCATGTATTTATTGCACAAATGCAATTAGTAAGCTGCAAGTATCCACCTATACCTCCCCTTAGTCATTCAAAAATTGAAAATGTGTTCTTTACTATTTACCAATGATAACAAATTTTAAAGAATGTTAATTAGTAAAAGCTTAATTATTTTTATCCGTGAATGCAAACATGAAAAATGTTGTTTTGCACCCCCCCCCCCTCCGGACCCCTATTTGAAATTTTTTATGGTGTCACTGAATCGATTAATTGTCAATGAATAAATGAACAACTGGTATTCTATTAAAAGTTTTTCTTGAATGTTCTTTTTGTTTGCCACGATTAACAATGATAACGGAAACTATTAGCGAGAATGGGTGTGAACTTATGCGTGTTAACCGACGGCGGCAACAACCCTGACATCGCTCGACGTACATGTAATCTTCTGCTTTCGCCACTTGGCGGTGCCAGCATCGTTATCGCGCCAAACAACCCCTCACCATCGTACTTTTAATCCATCAGAACTGGGCAAAATTTTGATTAAAATAATAGATAAACGGTTAACAGCAACGTGGAGCGATTTGTTATAATTGAAGTTAAGTTAAAAAAGGACACTTTTTGTTGAATCTCGTTTCCTTCTAGACATTATCTTCTAAAAGATTTCGTTTGAATCTTCCATGAGTAAGAAAATTCTTAGTATTGTTTAATAATAATTATAGTTACTTTCTTTACATCCGTTTAATTGTTACTTTAGATTACTTTGAATTCGCTATGCATCCTTATTAGACTACTCTAGCCACAATAAAACATAGCTACAGCCCCTGAGGATAATTTGAATAGATATTTGCACTGTTGTTAATGTTTGATTGATTCATTGAGAAGAATATGTATTTTTAAGAAAAGGATACATATGGATATTTAGATCCTGTGGATCTACCTCCTTCTTAAATGGCATCGAGCTGGTAATAGGTCTAGCACCACCCCTGAATGTGTGTAGTTAATCGGTGGTCGGTTTTATCGATCTAACTTTACAATAGTGTATTATAAATAAAAAAAGTAAGTTTTTTAAACCCTTTTTCACCTTCACTATTCCTTAGAAAATTGATGCTTATACCAATTTACGTATAATGATATTATCAATAATCATGGGTATTTAATTACATTCTAAAATCCTTAATCGCGTCAGAGTTATTAATTATTTTATTTCAAATAATAAATAAAATTGACAAAAAACAAGCAATGCAATTTTATAATCGCATCATTTTAAATCGTTTATTCAGATTTTGCAAATAACAGCAAACGATTTTTTTATTTCGATAATTATTTAAATAAAAATTCATTTGAATAATGGCTAATCGTAAAAGGAAATCCGAATGATAAGTGACTTTGATTAGTGCGTACAAGAAGAAAGAGCATCGCGACCTTAAAATGGGGTAGACGGGACAAGAATGAAAATGCATTCTGATGCATTCGAGTGGCGTCTAACGAACGCGTGTGTACGTTACGGGCGCATTCCGTGTGTAAATACGTGTCCGCGCACGTGCGCCAGAAAACCAGAGCGAGGAATCGTTCCGAGAAAGAGGGAGAAAGAACTGTGATCAATATAGAGTATGGGGGATGCTAGGCTCTGCAATTGCCTGTTCGTTTCTCCTCGCTCTATTCCCTTTCAGCTTTCATCTTACACGACTAATATCGGCAGGCTTAACTTAGAAATGCCTTTGATCAATACACCGGAAGGTACGGAGAAAATCGATCACATCTACGATTCGTCGATCGACGCAAAGTTCTGCTAGACATGCTCTACTTCAATGGTGGGTTGGGTTACCTTGGATCATGAAAAAAAATGCACAAAACATTCTTTAATTTATTCTTTAAATTCTCCAAGTTATTCAATTAACTTCTGTCCTTGTAACAAACTGCAATTCACTGCAATCAATTATGGTTGGACCAGTTTGCACTCGAGATGGCGCTGATACGTATTGCAAGGTGTAAAACATTTTCGTGCGTTTTCGCTAAGATTTATTTCATTGCTGAATTGAGTTTTACTTTTGCTTGAAATGGTATTGAGATAAACAAGTTTATGAAAAGATTGGGAGTGTACATATGCATACATATTTCGTGGACGATAACTTCAACTGTATATATAAACAATGCGATAAATAATATGATGTTTATACAGCTGATAGGAGTTTCCTTGATAATAGCTGGCTCATTGTTCGACATATGATCCTAACCGATACCGTAATCTATGTATATATGCTATTGCGTTCAAACGCTGTTATTGCCTTTGTTCGTTGGCCACGCGCAGCAATGTATCGCAGTTTTCTGTAGCATGATGTCCGAGTTCTCAAAATCTAAAAATCGTTTAAAAGTTATTTTATCTTAGAAGTCGTCAATCAAATTAAGTGGATGTCATCGTGACTAGCAATTGTTAACTATACTAAAGTTGCTAGAAATCCAAGAAGATAAAAATGGTTTCACTCGCCCTTGGTTTCATCGTTTTATCTTCAATTTCAAGCACTCTGTGCGATGTCCTTTATTATCAACCTGAGGCTGTGCATCTCGCCTATGGAGGTAAAAATCATTTTTAGGAACGTTTGCCAAAAATTATTTATTGTTAGAACTTTGATTACGTGTCAGTTTGTTGTTAATTGTGCGTTATTTAAAATTCGTCCAATTAATGGAATGGAAATAGAAAAACTAAAATATCCTATAATCTTTAGATAATGTTCATGATATTGTTGTAACATGGAGCACTAAAAACGATACAAAGCAGTCTATTGTAGAGTATGGTATAGGAGGACTTATTCTTACCGCCAAAGGGCATTCCACTTTGTTTGTTGATGGTGGAGATGAAAAGCGAAAGCAATATATTCATAGAGTATGGCTGAAGAATCTAACACCAAATAGGAAATATGGTAAATTTAACAATTCCTTGCTTTCATGTAATCTTATATATCATTTAGTCAAACTAAGCATTTTATTTTGACCATTGTTGAACATTTTTAACTCATCTAAGTCATTTGATATACAATTGAAACTATCATGTACAAAATAAAATGCTTCATTTAACTGGTGGATATATAATTTCTTCCAATACAAGCATTAACAACATTTTTAATCAAAATTGTATCATTGTATATTTTCTCAACAGTTTATCATTGTGGTAGCAAATATGGGTGGTCAAACATGTTTTATATGAAAACTGCTCCCATAGAGTCAGCAAATTGGTCACCACAAATTGTTGTATTTGGTGATATGGGTAATGAAAATGCTCAAAGTTTATCAAGATTACAGGAAGAGACACAGCGTGGATTATACGATGCAGCAATTCATGTTGGAGATTTTGCATATGATATGACTACTGACAATGCACGTGTTGGTGACGAATTCATGAAACAAATAGAAGGAGTTGCTGCTTATTTACCTTATATGACAGTACCTGGTAACCACGAAGAAAGATATAATTTTAGTAATTACAGGTCAGAATTGCTTTAAATATGAGTTTGACAATTATTTAGTCAATAATTTCTTCATTCCTGTACACTCTTTAGGTCTCGTTTTACAATGCCTGGTGATAGTGAAGGTTTATGGTATAGCTTTAATGTAGGACCTATTCACTTCATAGGTATAGAGACAGAAGCTTATTATTTCATGAATTATGGTATAAAACAACTTGTTAAACAATACGAGTGGTTGGATAAAGATTTAACTGAAGCAAACAGTCCTAATAATAGGTGACTTTGCATTTTCTCTTAATAAGATATAATAGAAACTAATACAAGATTTAAAAATTAATCATTGTAAAATAGCTAAATAAGCATTATTTAAAATTGATACAGGGAGCAAAGACCATGGATAGTAATATTCGGTCACAGACCAATGTACTGTAGTAATGCAAACGCAGATGATTGTACCAATCATCAAAGTCTCATTAGAGTTGGATTGCCATTTTTAAATTGGTTTGGACTCGAAGATCTCTTTTTTAAGCATAAAGTAGATTTATTATTGTGGGCTCATGAGCACAGTTACGAACGATTGTGGCCCATGTACAATTTTAAGGTGATTCTATTATTCTATTGTTTTACAAATTTGAAATCTTGAACATTTTTAATAAATTTAATGAATACTAAGGAAAAGATGGAAATAATTGTAGGTACAAAATGGATCTTACGAAGAACCGTATACGAATTATAAGGCACCCGTGCATATAGTAACTGGATCGGCCGGATGTAAAGAAGGAAGAGAAAAGTTCATCCCGCATAGGCCAGACTGGTCTGCGTATCGTAGCTCAGATTATGGTTACACAAGGATGAAGGCGTTCAATAGGACTCATCTTTACCTTGAACAGGTATTTGTTAGAACAATAATAATATTTTGTATTATAAGAACGACGAATGTTTACTACTTTATTATACAACGTTTCGGCTATAGTAGATAATCTTTCGACGCTTAACGGACGTGTGCTAGAGCATAATAAATTTTCATAAAAGACGAAATATAAATTAATTAATTTTATATTATTGTTAGTTGACTAACGTTTTCAGTTTACATTTCGGATCTACTACTTTGAAAGTAAACTCTAAATTATTACTGTTTTTTATATTATCTTATTGGTAATTAAAGTTTAGTGTTACATAACGATTTATTGCTACTCGGTATAACGAAGATAATAATAACAAATGAACATGAAGAAATACTTCATTTAGGGTTGATCATAATCTACAATGTAAACGTATTTATTAAGATTCGTTTAGTTTTAATCGATAAGGGCTGACTACTATAGTCGAAATGTCGCACAATAAAGTTACAAACTTTAGTACTTATAATTAGTGATAGTCGCTCGAGTCTTAGTCTTGCAAAAAACTTTTGAAATTTTCAAGTTTACGAAGATTCGAATCGCAACCATACAAAATATTATTTTCATTTTATATTCCTATCAATGACTAGGAACAATGAAAATAAACTTCGTTTTGTACAAGGTATTGGTTAGTTTGGATAAATAGGCACAAGGAATGTTCGCTATTATTCAGTTTACAATGTTCTGGTAACAGGTATCCGATGACAAGGAAGGTGCCGTTTTGGATCGAGTTTGGCTTGTAAAGGACGATACTTTCCCGGCGTACAGTATAGACCAGCTTACAAATAAAATATAGAGCACAATTTATGATAAAGCGATTGAAACAATATATAGGATTATTCCTTTAGTTATCATTTTGTTTCGATTAACAATGGTAGCATGTAAGTAGCAAAGCTGTATATAAACTTTAAACAAGAATATTAAGAAATAAATATATATAGCCCCTAATTTTGTACAATGTTTAGTATATGTACCAAGATTTTGATCAAAACTATCTACAAGTTCTTTGCAATCTTCTAATATTTACATCATCTCTGCTTGAATTTGTTCTCTAGTTTGTTCAGCTAGCTCTGCTTTCGTATGCATAACTACATCTTCAATGTTTTTACTGACACCTTCCTTGAATCTTTCACCATTTGCTTGTTTTCTTACTACGCTCAGATCCAGTTAAATCTACTGAATGGAACTTTGCTGTTGTTGCTGTATTGCGATTATTCTTTTTCTGTTGGTGTATACATAATGTGAAAATTCCATGGCTATGACTACTCTGGGCGTTCATTGCTGTAGTAGCAGTTGCACAACCTACAGATCCCTGCATTACACATCGTTTCTTTTGCATTTTGAATTTCTTTTTCTACAACTCCAGCAACTTTTATACTTTTGATAACTACGTTGGCTACATTGTTTGTCAGTTAAAAGATCATATAATTATTCTTGAAACAGTTTCATAAACAAAACTGTAACTCTGATACTCCAATCTTCCTTTGACGAAATTATATTAAGTTCGGAAATCTTCATTTACATTGTTACTATTTCGAATCTTACTTAGCATACACGCTAACGATGCTTTATCTTGCATTCAATTTTCAAGGATATATTTAGCATCAACTGTACTTTCTAATATGTGTAATTCTTGAACCAACTAATTTCGAATTTTCTTTGATTTATTGTTTATTTTTTTTTTGTCGTCATTGCTGCTTTGTTTTGCATATCCACGGCTTCCATCAATCTTTTGTCGATTTCAAAAGCTTCTTCTATTTTTTCTATTAAAAAATGTTTCCTGTAAACTTCAAACAATCAACTTGTATTCTAATTTTAAAAATTCTTCCTATTCCCCCTCTCGCAGTGAAACGAATAAACTACAAAAAATTTGCTAATTACAAATGAGATGGAAATTAATAATGCATACATACAATATAATCCTTTAATTGTTAAAATATAAATATATGTATATATAATCATTGTAGCATATAATATTAATAATATAATATTAGGGTAGCATTTCATATTTCCATCTGATTCTCACAGTAAATCATTATTTGTCGATGATACATGGTGAATAGCGCGAACCATATCAAGGAAAACTATTTCCTATTTCGGTAGCACTAGTACATTAAAAAAAAAAGCTTTCTCTCGATTCTAAAACTCTGTATCTCAGATTTACATGGTAGTGCAATTAAAGCTGTTAAAGTTTCTATGCTTCTACATTAAAAATGGATAATCAATCCACTTGCCCGTTGGCTGGCTCCTTGCCAAGTATAAATTTGCTATTTTGGCTTCTGCTCTAACAGTCGACTAATGAATTTAAGAAAAATAACCAGGAACTGTCCTTTTATAAATTATTATAATCAAGTTAACAATGAAGCTAGAAAGTGTCGTATTGTTACTTTCGTTGAACAAAGGACTGTAGCTATGATTATCAAATATCGTTCCTCCGCGTAGAAGAAACGTGCTACTCTTTACAATGTAACACAGCGTAGGGGATGAACTTAAGTTAACTTTTGTTTTACTATTGTTTTTTTTTCTTTTTTAAGACAAAAATGTATCCCCGTTATATACGTCGCAAACCTACTCAGCAGGTATAAATAGTATTAGCTCAATCGGATCTTATGGTACACAAATTTTTCATGTACAATTTCAATGAATATGTGTAAAATACACACACGCGTACACACAAATCTGATCTGCCATTGGAGATATGTGTTTAAAAACCTTCCGAAGATGCACGAAAAAGCATCGTAAACTAGCGAAAAATGTGATATTCCGATTGATCTGCTTAAAAAAAAGATTCTTCCAAATCGGCAGACAATCCACGAATACTCGTCACAATCGAATGTCTTTGTTTAACCTTTCCATGCATTTAGCCACACATCTCAATATATAAAGAAAGGAAATCCTTGATACTGTCAGTGATTAATGGAAACGATAGAAGAGGTTGCTGCCGAGTGACTTTCCTGATACGAGAACTGGGGGAAATGTTCTTGCTCTTCGGCTATCGAATTCAGACCAGCCCCACTGCCCAAGAAACCTTGATCGGGCGGCGTTAGTTCGACACTTTCACCTGTAAATTCGCTATCAAAATATCGAGTGTCAGTATCGGATGTAACTTGAGGTTTGAACGGAGGCGGAATCTTTTTCTGTACAAGATCGGACCAATCAATGGACGAGAAAAATGCATGATCCATAATCTCTTTTGCATCATTGGGTCCACCTCCCAATCGTTTATTAGGATCTTTTATAAGTAGTCCTGTAAAAGAAACATAAACATTTGAACAGTATAATACACTATTTAATTATAATTATTTGCACTTCTACCCCACCAGGGCAAGTTTCAGTTATCTTTACATCTATTTCTTTAGAATTACTATATTTCACTTACCACCGAGCATATCTTTCGCCTCATTACTGATCGTTCTGGGAAATTTGACTTCTTCCATTACAATAAGCGTGAAAAGCTTCTCATGGTCCTTGTTGTAAAAAGGTAATCGGCCACAGATCATTTCGTACATAACAACGCCGACTCCCCACCAGTCTACAGCTCGTCCGTAATCATTATCTTCGAGCACTTCTGGTGCTAGATACTCAGGAGTGCCACAGAATGTTTTTGTTGTTCTTCCTGTATGTTCAAAGTATTATCAATATTTTCCGATGCTTCACAGTGATGAGTTAACTTACTAAGTCACTAGTCTTCAAGAATTTTTTTAAGGTTGTGAAAAATAAACAATTTTAACAAAAAGTTGAAAATTGCATATTGTTAATATCATATTAATTTTTTATTTTAATTTTGTATTTGATTTAACTGTTTCAAATGATTGTATTATTAATAATAATTAGAAAACAGTTATAAATAATTATGTAAAATTTTAATATTGTATACTTTGCAGATCTTTGTAAATAAATTCTCGAAAAATGACTTGCACAATCGACTTCAAAAACGGAAATATCGCCTTAATTTGTGTTTAATTCGATACTTACCATACGTTATGTCTTCTTTGCACAGTCCAAAGTCAGCAATTTTAATATGTCCATCTTTGTCTAAGAGAAGATTTTCTAATTTGAGATCACGATAAATGATACCCTGCGAATGAAGGTATCCTAACGCTGAAATGATTTCAGCCCCATAAAATCGTGTACGATCTTCACCGAATATACGGGAACGTCGTAAATGAAAGAATAACTCGCCACCATTCACGTATTCCATTACAAAACATAGTCTGTCAGCTGTTTGAAAACTGTACTTTAAAGACTGCAAATAAAAAAATGTTAAACTATAATCAAATCTGTTCCTTTTCGGGAATAGAGCAATATATATATGTAGAGTACATACAATTAGGAACGGATGATTAGTAGTACGCAATACTCTACTTTCGGTAAGTGTGTGCGCAACTTCGTCTTTACGAATAATTACTTCTTTTCGTAAAATCTTTATAGCGTATAAGTGTCCTGTTGCTTTTTCTCTACAAAGGATTACCTTTCCAAACGTCCCCTTGCCCAAAACTTTTAAAAATTCGAAATTTTCAAGGGTCTGCAATGGAAATATTACATTCAAAGAATCAATGTGAAAATAATGTTTGAATTAGTGTTAAGCATTAATCGTTATTCTCATTAAATGTATCGTGTAATAAACAAAAACGTGTTCAACTTTAACAATAATCGTATTACTCACTACTTTCTTTTTCCCTGTACTTTTACTACTTGAAGTTCCTTGAACACTAAATTTCGCGGAAAGTTCATCTATACTGCCACCATCGCCATCCGAAGACACTACACCGACAGATCCGCTCGAATCTGACCTACCACATCCCGAAGATTCCATTTCAACATCTTCAGAGGAGGATGAATGTTGCATTTGTGACTGATGTTGCTGCTGCTCTCTCTCTAGCCTACCAGCTACATAACTATCAGCAAGAATAATATTTTAAAAATCTTCAGGTTTTGCATGGTACATATACAATGACAAAGAAGTCCAACCTAATTGCTTCTACCCAATCCTGTCTTTCTTGTTCTGTGTCTACATGAAAGGTCCTTTCAATTACAGATGCCCATTGTAAACCTCTAATCATAAAGGTATGAGGCTTAGGTTTATCTATACGCATAATCTGACATCCTCGAACCGTAAAATTATTTAAAGGCTGTGCGGCTGCTGCCATTTGTTGATCAGGTTTTGCTTTGAAGCCCACCAGTGTACCATCGTCCCGCAAAACAAAATACCTCGACCTCCAATTTCTTATGTGTTCTCCTGTACATAGAAAAAAGAACATTTGCATAATCCCATCAGTTCAATCTAGGAACAGTCGATAACATCTAATGCAACTGTAACAAAAAATGTGCCAGCATAGAATAGTATTCTAGAAGAATATTAGGTCATAAGTAATCATAGATTACTTCTTCTGTCTTATTCCAGTATATTCAAATTGCTGCACAATATAGTATAGTCAAAAAATGCAAAAACATAATTAAAATATAAATATATTAAATCAAAAACTAATCAATTATTTAACCCTTAAAAGACAAGCATTAGAATGCTTACATTGAAAAAATAGACCTATTTAGTATGGTAATATTAGTCTGATACTCTAGCTCTCTTCCCACTAATGTCCACAGTTTTTGTATTTCTTGGCTATGTGTATCTCAGAGGCACAGTCTCAAAACTTGATCTTCCATGAAAACCTCTCATCAAATGTAAACAAGTATAAGAGAGTATATGTACAACTATTCCATAGCACATCAAAATAAATTTCTACAATTAAAATAAGACTGTATCACAGATGGGTTTACCTAGATGATCATTTAGCTTAAGTCTATCATTTAAAGAAGTCTAAATTTTATGGAATAGAATTCTTTCAATATATTAAGAACTTCCAGAATGTATAGTTGATGATCCAAATAAAATCTTATTAAATCAGTTTAGAAAGGACATTAAAATCATACTCTCATTGAGAGAAACCACTAGTGGGCTACGCTCACTACTTGCTGTTAGTTCTGGAATGCCCAAAGCATTATATGATTAGAAACAAGAAAATTATAAATGAGCCAAATGTCTAATCTTTCAAAGGTTAAGCAAGAAATTGAACTCCTCCAAAAGTATGAAATACCATAATATATTATATTACTAATTAATAAACATGGTATGTTTAGTTTTGTGTTGATCATAAAAGTGACCTAATATTTTCTAAAAGTTCCACAAAAGATACCTCATCATACATTATTATTAAGGTTCAAACTTTTATCTATTTCTTTCAATACATGTACATAGTTCAAATACTGAACTAATTGAGTACTATCCAGATACTCACCAATTCGAGTACACGAATACTCAACCACTCGAATATTATTTAAGTATTTTCAAGATACTCCACTATTCAAACACTATTTAAATACATTTCGAGTAATCAACTATTCGAATACCTTCCGAAAATTCGACCATTCGAACGCTATTTGATACATTTCGGGTACTATTTAAATATTCAACTATTCGAATGCTATTCGAATAGTTTACTCACGATTCAGATATCGGGACATTCATAGTATTTGAATAGTGCGATGTCAATGTATTCTTGACATTTTGCTGAACGAGGAACTACTCGAGGATTGAAGTGTGCGCGAGAAAACGAGGAAAGATTGGATCGCGAGGTCGTGTCGCCGATCTATTCGAATCGAAGCGAAATAGTAAACATAAATATTATGAAACTGGTCAGGGAAGTGTACCGCGTTTTTGAAGCCAGCCTTCTTTAACGACACGCTGACTAGCCGTGCTGGACGCTGCGACATTCATCGCTGCGTCCCCCATAACTCCTTCTTCGATGAACACTCGTATTCACACTCCTGATGCTCCGTGTTTCCGTTCAGGCACAATATTCCAGGAAAATTTATGAAATACAACAACGAGGATGGCACAAGTATACAAACTTGAGCAATCATAGATACACGTTTGGCAGGTAAACTCAACTATACTCACATCGACGGACGCACTAATGCGCACTAGCTCGCCTGCTTGTATACCGAAGATGGCGCGCCAATCGATTCTGGTTAAAGGCGAATTCTCGTTGTACAATGTCCAGTCTACTGTTGGTCAATGTAGTCAGAAGGTACCGATATTGCAATCGATGTGCCCTTCTATATACTCTATCCTTCGTAATACGCATGCGCAAAACCTTTTGTTTATTACGGTTTGTTGTTATATATATGTATAAGTTACAATAAAACCAGTCCATTTAACTGCTTATTGCTTGGGGATTACTTGCTGTTTCTTTTTATCTTTTTCTTGAATTCGAATATTCGAACATTTAAATAATTTATACTCTGATCAATTTTGTATTATTTTTATACGAAGTACTTTACCAAACCATACCGTTAATGGTATTTTATGTATAAAATATTTCTATTTTGCTAGAAGGAACTTAATATGTTTACATTTTTCAACTGTAAACAGTATCAAATGGCCACACGCAATATCGAGACTTTCTAAACAATATATAGAAAATTTATGAATTTTTATAAAAATTTGTAAATGCATAAATTTTATTCGTTTATGATATATATGAAACAAATTGTTAAATTTAAAAATTTTAGAAGTTTAGAGTGGTATACTATAGTAAATATATTTACTAATTTTGCCAATAAAAGTTTTTTGTTTAGATTAATAAGACTTTTACTGGAAAATGTCCTGTTTCCTGTTTACATTTAGTAAAAGTATACTGCACATTAAAAACTATTAATGCTTTATCAATAGATAACTGTTCCCTGATACAATTAGAAGATTGACGGTATGACGCATCGCAAAGAACGTCTTATTATCGGATAATCATTTATGTAACAGAAACAAATCAGTACGTTTATCTATATCAGAAATGTCAATGCATCTAATTCTTTTTGCAATTAGATAGTGAATTTAAAAACATTTACTCTATTCTTATTCCTCGGTATTTTTCAATATGAGGGGCACGGCCCCTAGAGCTCTAGGTGTCTCAATCTCAGAGGAAGGACCAAAGAAAATTTTAATGCATACAAAGAAATGCGACATTATATTAATATGACTTAATCATCCAAATTTTTAATTTTTTAATTTAAAACCTATTTATTTCGAATGTACAAATTTTCATTTGTCTTTAGGCCACGCTTTTCAAAAATTTAGAAACCACTATTATCAATACGAGTGTTAATAAATTAAATGTCCCATTAGTTGTTAAATCCACGTTCTACAGAGAAAATAACATGAAATAACATGTAATCTGGATTTTCTAAATCTACATATCTGCGCATCCTCTGTATCAATTGGTTGCTCCTGTCATTGAATTAGCAGCCGTCATTTATTTTGACAGGCGTCGAGTACTTTTTTCTCTAACCTATACGCCCATGCCTTATTTTAGTAACATCTATTAATAATTTAGATTCTAGAAAACATTTTTAAAGCTTAAAGATGCAATGTCTTGCTCGCAAGATTCTTAAAAGTAGAACAGTGGATGCAATTACGAATCAATGGTAGAGGTTAGAATTATGCGTAATCGATATTTACGTGTCCAAAGATAGAAGGAATTTTGTATTAAAGTACAATCGAGAAGATGGGGCCTCCACCGGTAGTAACGGGAATATCTCCCAAAGAAGGACCACCAGGAACCCGTGTGATTGTTCGCGGTGAATTCCTGGGAAACAAAGTGCAAGATCTCATAGGTTAGTTTCACTTTCAAAAACTAGTTAGGAACCATAATTTATCTCCCAAAAATATAATATTTAATGTGCTCAGGTCTAACGATATGTGGGTGCGATTGTCTTTTATCCGCGGAGTGGAAGTCCAACAATAAAATTATTGCCAGATCGGGACCTTGCAAAGGTCGTGGTGACATTATAGTAACTACTCGCAGTGGAGGTCAAGGAACTTCTACAGTACAATTCCGTGGTTATCATGAAACCATAGGACCTATGAAAGAGTCCGCTGTATGGGTAGAAGAAGCTCCTATGCAAAGTTTTGTATGGGGAAGAAGAACACTTTCTCCAACAAATTATCAGCAGGATGATCCATTGGGTCTCAGTGTGGAAGGCAATGAGTATGTCTTTATACCTATCCTTTAATTCAAATATTTTAACATGTTTCTTTGTAGCAAAAAGTTTCCTGAAGATGAGCTGATGGAGCTTTTTGGAGAAGGTAGTGGAGATCTTACAAGTGAAAAATTTCATCCTGGCTGGTTTTTATTGCAGCACCATCATGCTACCACTTTTGAAGATTTGAAAGCTGGATTGGCATATCTTAAAAGAAAAGTGAATTCTCAGAAAGAGGGTCAATTATCATTTCTGAAGGTGATTAAATTAAAAGGAAAAAGAATGTTGGTTTCTATGTATTTACATATTGTTTCATTGAATAGAATAATTTGTTTCTTCTTTTGAGGGAGCAATTCAAGTAGCTTTTGTTGTTTAACAAAACAATGTTATGAACTTCTGTTTTGTGGTCCTTTCCTGACTACACAATTGAATTATCGTATAAGATGTTTTGGTAGAATGTCCAGACTTCTAAATTTTAGTGAAAACACTAATTCATAACTCGTAATTTCATAACTTTTAGATACCTTTTGTTTATTAGTATCTGAAATATTTTAGGCCAATGTGGGGTCAGTAATGGAACAATTGGACACGATAATGTTACTAAAAGAACAGTTCGAAACAGATATAAAAAATTATGGTAGCGATCCTACCGTGAAATTAGAAAAGGCTATACAGCAATCCATGTCAGAGGCTAATAAATTATTCGACGATGTATTAGCAAGAAGAGATAAGGCGGATGCAACGAGAAATGCTCTAGCTGTAATGCAGCGATACAAGTTTCTCTTTTGTATGCCAATTAACATAGAAAAAAATATAAAACGAGGCAATTACGATCTTGTAATTAACGACTATGCTAGAGTAAAAAATTTATTCAAAAATACGGAAGTCGAAGTCTTTAAACAAGTATTACAAGAAATTGATGATAGAGTCGAGAAATTGAAAGTATTTCTGAGAAAGAAGCTCGAAGAAATGCCTTTCAGTTTGGAAGAACATAAGAAGATAATTAGAAACCTTGTTAATTTGGAAGCTGATGGAGATCCAGCTTGGGATGCGATAGGTATTCCTAAGATTAAAGCATGTAGCGCTATTACTTTGTATAGTAAAATACTAATATTTAATTTTCTTAGTATCGCATGCAAATTATTTGAAGAAAAGTATTACTGCTTGCGTGCAAGAACATTTGGAGATAGACAATTCAAGTGATGACGATTTAAACAAAAAATTGATGCAGAACAACAAACAAGTGAAATCGAACAAAAACGATGGAACTATTCCGCCGCAAATATCGTGTATCGAAGCAATTTGCAATGTCGTCGTTGAGCAATTACCAGATCTATGGAGATTGGGTCAGAGTTATTTCACGGGACAGTTGCATGTTGCCGTGGATGCGGAGAAACAAACACCTTTCAAAGTAAATTAGCGTCTAAATAAACATTTGACAACAAAATGCTTGTTCAAAGATAAACCGAATTTAGAATTTGGTTTTTCTTGTTTCACGGTAACTGAGGCTTTTGGGTACAAGCCGTGTCCCTTTGATGAGATACTTCAACGTTTTGTGACACGACATGTGAGCCTTAAAGAAGCTAGCTAGAAATCTAGCGAAACGTCGGAGTATCTTATTCAAACGACGCGATTTACATCTGGAAGCCACAGTTAGTATAAAAAAGAAACAACAAATAATTAACTCATAGAAACATCAATTTGCTTTAAATTAATGTTTCTCAGAATTATTTTTAAAATAAAAATTATTTAACAATATAGAACCTAGTGCTGTCAAGTATGCAATATGCCATGGAAGCTATGAGGAACACATGTAGCAACGATTTAGATGCAATATGGCTTTTGCATATTTTGCGCCGAATTAGACAAATGTATGCTTCGTTGATTCATTTGGACTTGCCAAGCGATGCACTGGACATTTTTGGGAAACTTATACTGGATTTGAGGTATGATATCTGTCTTTCAGATAAATGTGTTTTATATTATGCTCGTATCATAAAGTAAATACTTTTTGAAACAGATTGCAGTGCTTTACTGCTCTCTTTAAGCAAACAGCTGAAAACATATCAATTTTGTACAAAAAAGAAACTTGGCAGATCGAATACTTGAACGAAGACGGTGGCGTCACAAGAGTGGTAATTATTATTTTTTATTAAAAATTCTTATCTATCATTTTTCTTCATGAAATTGTTTTTGTTCACTCCTTGGTGGCTAAAATATTTTTATAATAAACACTGAAAATTTTACTGCTCGAAATTGTCAAATAATTTTCAATATCTCCTCAGTTATCTTCAGCACAAACAAAAACAAAATAAAAAGAAAAACAATTCCTAAGTGAATATGTATTATCTTATTTCAAACAGCCATATCTATTTGAGGAAATGACCAGGGAAGTTGCAAAGCGAGCGCGAGACACGGTAGTTGCTTGCGGCCCACGAGAAGGAGCATTGTTTGCTAATCCTGCCCAGCAACAATTATACTATAACTCTATTAAAACATTGTTCACATCGTTCGCGCGATGCTTGCAGCAGTTGGCATTCAGCGGCTGCGAGGAAGCCCTAGAGGACGATGAACAATCAGTTTCCCAACTAGTCGGTTCTCCTTCAGGATATACTAGCAAGGGCAATAAACACCAAGGCCCGGTAAGTCTTTCATTATATCAACAACGAGGTGTGTTTACAATTTATTGAAGATGTGGATAGACCTTACGTTAAATCGTTAAAAAAAAAAAAAGAAGCGATTTGTAGCATTTTTTGAAGTTAATGCTGTATTTTAGCGTTACTTCTGAATTTTTTATTAGACATGGGAACAATGCCTCTTGATCTCATTAAGTAATATTCGTTATACACTGAACACCATCCTACCAAAAGTTCGGGACTCATTGAAAGATCTGGATTACCCGAACTTGTCGAATGCGGTGGGATGGAATTCTGATTGGACGCAGCTGGAAACATTGGATACGGCTGTGTTGGACGCGTACTTGGAACGTCGTTGTGATCCATTGGTCGGTACGATCGAACCAAGCATGTATCTCGGTGGTTTGGAATGGGACTTTGAAACCGAACCGACTCATGTGAGACCGTACGCGCAGGAGATACTAGCGAATCTAATCGCGGTCCATGCCGAAGTATTTACTCACTTATCATTTTTAATTAACTTTAAGGAGGCAATCCTCTTTATCATAAATTACATCCTTGTAGGTGCGTCGTGTAGCGCCAGCGCTGTTGCACAGGGTACTCTCTCACATCGTAGAAACCGTAGCAGAAGAACTTGCAAGACTTATGTCCTGTGTAACGCAATTTCGACCTGCCGGAATTGTGCAAGCAAGGACCGATATCATACTTTTACGAAACGCCTTGTATTCTTACAATACAACTAGAGCCAAGTAATTATTATTATTACCATCAGAAACTGCTATTGCTTCTAAATCAAGTGATGTTAACTGTAACTTCTGATCGACAGAAATTTCTTCGAGGAGGCGTTGGACGCAATACCCCCGCCCGTCAGCAAAGAAGATCGAGTACGTATAGACATGCTGCTGTCAAAAGTGGTAACGTCCATGCAGTTGCAATTATCTTGTCTTGCCAGCGATACAACAAGTAATACTCCAACAATGTTAGCCGATCCTAATCGTGTTACCACTGTCTAGTTGTAATAGTAACTTAGAGAACTAAGTAAGTAATTTATTATAATGACCGTTATATTTTTGTACCGTAAACAGTAGGGTTCTCTGTATTCCAGTCCCTAAACTCGTTGCTATTTGTCTCGGATAAACGTAATGAATATCAGCCTGAGATGTAAAACTAAATAAATATGACGTGATGAACTGGAAAAATAAGTATCGCTTGTTATAGAAATCGAATGAAGTATTGCATATAAAAATATTATATCTGCTTTGATTATTTGTAATTCTATAGATCTTTTTGATCGTGCCTCTTCACTAGTTGCAGAACGCCGGTATTCGCATTCAATAACACCATGTCACCTAAAAACACGTTTAAATTACTATTTAAGTTTTTCATTCTTTAACGAAAAAAGTAATAAAAGAAAAACTAGATTAATTAGAAAAGATAATATTATGAACGCTACTAAAAATATCTAAATTTTTATGTGTTAATTCAATTAACAGAGCTGGTCATCTAAAAGTTAAAAAATACATCTCGTTACCTGTTTGGAACATTTGCGTAGCCCTCTTTGCACTAATTATGCAAGGCAGGCCGTACTCTCTAGCCACTACAGCTCCGTGACTTATAAGTCCACCCAATTCCGTAACTATGCCGCTGAGTAAAGCAAAGTATGGACTCCAAGCAATGTCGGTGGCATACGTAATTAAAATATCACCGTTTTGTATCTTCTGTGCATCCATTAAGTCTGTTATCACACACGCCCTGTTGAGTACCGAGCCACCACATACCGGTGTTCCTTGAATCTTCATAGATCCATCAGGCACTATGTTATCTAAATCATTCTAGAATATGAAAACACTGTTCTCAGCGCTTAAGCATTCATCTTATATCTATTAAATAAAATACGATGATCTAAATTGAGGAGTGGAAGAAATTGCCCCTGAATTGAATTTACATTCGATGATTAGAATTCTTTAAAAAAATTGTGTTACTATTGGTGAACGTTTCATATCATAGCATCACTCAGAGGCAATATTTATACCTCTACGTAATACCTTTATTGGTATTGGCATTCCTGTACTTAATTCCGAGTACCGAAGATTCATCAGTCGAGGGAAGATTTTTCTTCTGTGGAAGGCCCTAACAAAATTTGTTAAAATATATCGTCAGTTATGATTGTTTTAAAGGATAATTGATATAACTGATATAGTTAATTACTTTTGAACAAACGTTGCCTTACGATGACTTAACAGTTCGCCTATTTCGTCGTTTGTTAAAAAGAATATAAGGTCCTCGTTGGGTAAATATTCTTCCAAAACCATAAGCTTTCCCAATTTTCTGTAAGCCAACCTAATTTTATGTATAGTGTTTACAAATATCGATTTCGTCATTTCTCTACGCACAACAGCACTTCTCAAAAAGGGTACGAGCTTTTTCAAAAGCAACTTGACAATTGGTGATTTGGGGGTCTTTAAAGACGCCACTGTTTCCTCCGCGTTTACCGGTTTCTTTGAGTTGTTTATTTCTGGGGACATTACCATCGTCTGGTAAACATATTATAGTTAATTATGATGTAGAACACTATAGTTTGTTGTACAAGTGAATAGTCCATCACGAGGAATTGAACTATTCTTCCTTAATGATAAATGGCTGATTTATGCTAGTAATATCATGGTATACACGTAATATTTTAACTAGCTTATTTTACCTGAAGCGTCGTGATGAGGTTCTCAGGCCTAAGAGACCAGGGTTCTGAGAGTAAATCCATTTCTTGGATGCACCTATGTCCATGCTTTTTTAGAAGATCCTTAAATTCTTTTGCTCCTAGTGGACAATTGATTTCCAACCAATTAATAACTTTCTTCGGATCCAATTTCCTAAATTCCTCGACTTTTTCACTTTTCTTGATGTACTTCCCTATTTTCTTAAGCCCTATTAGTACTTCACCACTAATGATATCGCTGCCAGAGCCTAACAAGATTGCAATGTCCGAAAAGTGTTCTGGTCCAATGTCTTCATAACTCTTTATCAATAATGATAGTGCTATAATTTGATAAAGAACACTAACTCTTGATGCGTGTATATGACATTCAGATATCTGAAAATACCGGGCATTAAAACAATATAAGTAATATTGTTAAATAATATAAATAATACTACTACTAGTTCTACAATATCTTCAGGACTTACTTTGTAAAATACAAAAAACCTTTGATCGATCTCGTTGTACAAACTGAGTGCATTATGAAAATCTTCAACATTCAAAACAAAATTTCGATCTGTTTCTTTCGCAAATTTCTCCACTGTGCTATTTGTAATTGCTTCATTTAACATTTTATACAGTCCTGCATATTGAGTGAAAAAAGAGGCTCTGCCATTTCTTTCGTGAGCAATTCTATGAATTTCTGGTGTTACTATCACATCTCCACTAACAGCTATATCCACGACTTTGTTCATAAATGTTATTTCATTAGTAGGATTTGCTAAAAATACCTATGGTCAAAACGAATAAATTGTTATTTTTAAACACATGGTATACGTTACAAGTCATATTTAAAAAAACGAAATTAGAACGTAGGCGTAATGAGCATAGTTTAAGATAATAATTTACATGTACAAATTCATAAAATAACTTACGTTATAGTAATTACAGGAGCACCTTAATGCTATTATGTTGAAACAGACGCGTCCCTCAATTTTGTTCGATCTGGCTGTTACTTCATTGAACGTTTTAACAATTGTGGAAGTTGATAAAGGGCACATTGGATTTGGAAATACTTCACCTATATTGGCAAACGTCAGTATGTCTATGTCGCTAGGTACACCCGTGTCTAATTCATGTTTTAACTCAAATTCCGTCCACGCATACAGAGTAGTAATAGGTCGTGCTTGAAGTAAGTAAATCTTTTCATCCATCACTGCCCATTCTATATCTCGAGCACTGCCGAATAGAGTTTCTAAGTTCATTCCTATGGCAGCTAATCGGAGACCAGTCTCCTCTGATATGCAAACAGATTTATTTTCCTGGTCATTTAAATTGACTATAACTAGTGCATCGCCGCTTGCCAACATTTTCTGTTTTTTATTCCCAACTATGGAATTTTTCACAGCCAACTTTTCGTCCCAACTTTTATTAACTATTATTGTGTCCGGTTCAACTGTTGCCGATACAACAGTCTAATCAAATCAAAGACGATACAGTTAATTTGACTCTTTCACAATATTCTCACTAACGTTTAAATATTAATTTAATCGTACCTCTCCCAATCCATAATTGGCAGTGATAACTATGTTTGAGGGATTTCCAGTAGTTGGGTGTCTGGTAAACATAACACCAGCAGCATCAGCGTTCACCATTTTTTGTATACAAACTCCCATAGATGCTTTCACGAACATGCCATGCTGTTTTCTAAATGTATACAAATAGTTTTATATGCTATTTCTAATGTAAAATGTTTAATGTTAGAAACCCGAAATTTAATAAATAATGATTTAATCGATAGTTTCGTGTTACCTGTATTCAATACTTTGGTATGAAAACAAACTTGCCCAACACATGGATACTTTCTTAATAACATTGTCCACCCCTTGAATACCTAAATACGTTGAATTCTGACCAGCTGCTGATGTTTCCTCACTATCTTCGCCAACAGCACTAGACCTTATTGCATACCTATATGATTTATCATTACCATCTTCTGACTCTAAATCTTTGATTGCTTTTAAAATGGCGTTCTTTACTTCCTCTAACACAGGAGTTGATTGAATAGTACGAACCGCTCTGAAATAAAACGGATCTTAAATATTATTTACCTAATAATAAAATAATAAACAATTCGTAATTGTGAATATAAATGTAATTTACATGTCGCAATATTCTTTGAGGTCACCTTCCTTTTTACCAACGCTAACAGCTTGAATGTCGTCAATTACTTTCTGTAATTCCTTGTGTGTGTGCAATTGTAGTTCGAAAGCAAGAACTGTTATACAAAATCCTTTAGGTACAATAAACTATAACAATTATCGTTTGTTTATGTATTTATAGAAATTAAAATTAAGCCATGATACGTTTGTAGTACTACTTACATCTGCATCTTTAATAGAAGTTAACATAGCAAGTGAGAATCCTTTGCCACCAACAATCTCTTCATTTTGGCATTTTACATCATTGAAATGTACTACATAATCATTTTTTTGGACATGTGAAGGAAGTGGTTTCAGATATTGCAGTTTTGCAGGTACCTTTACTTGAAACGGTCCATTATAAGAATGACATAATAGCATCAATCCAGTGCCTATTAAACAATTTTTAAGTTAAACATTATAAATATAGAAACATTGCCGAGATATTTTTTATTCTAATACCTGCTCTCCCATTTAGTTTCAATTTCACGGGAGCTATTTTGTTTACCCAGTTCCACGGTTGACCATAATATAAATTTATTGGCTTACCACATTTAACAAGAACATTATATTCTTTACCTTCCACTAAAATTAAATATGAAATAATTGTAAGTACAGATTTTTTTGAAATAGATTATTCATATGAACTTTAAGTAACCTGTGAGCCATATTTTGTATTCCAAATTATCTGCAAATTTCTCTTTTGTAAAATCAGATAACGTAAGTCGCAAATTATCTATTTTACGCGTAACTTCATTGTTGCTTCTGAATTGACCATACCGTATTCTACAATGAACATCGTTTAGTAGAATAGAAGAACTCTAAAGAAAGTTCATTATGTTTCTTATTGTTTTTACAGTTATGATTACTTTTTTAACTTACTGTGGAAAACTATGTTTCGTATTATCCACACTGAGATAATACATTGCTCCATATGGCATTACACCAAACAGAGTAATGGATTCATGAAACTCGTGAGATTCATTCTTTCCCCAACGATGTTGATGAAGTCCACGCAAATATAAATCGGAAACAAATCCATCTTCGTACGTTACTTGACCCAACAAAGACCCAAACTGATCAAAGCCTATGTATTCCAGTAAATTTCTGTAAATATCGAAAAAATTAAAACAATTATATAAACATCAAACTAATGTATACAAATAGTTTTATATTTTTACTGTACATCTTGTCTATCCAATCAGGATTCTTCCACGATTCAAGAGCTAATGCTTCTGCATGCAGTTTAGAACTCCAATCATCTGGCCATTTTAATAGTTCAGAGTGTGCAATGAATCTAGATGAAACATTAATTATTTGATTTCAATGAAATTGAATAAATGTTACAACAAACAGTGCGTTTCTTACATGAAGTTTAAACGAAAATGTTGGATATTATCATCATTGCATGCATCATCCTGACTCAAGTTTCTAAGCATACCATTGTAAACTATTCTCCAACGTTTTTGGGGTTTTAATATTTCAATTTTAAGGCCGTTTGCTGTCCATTTTTGATCGGCACTATTTATTAACGTGGTATCGGGATACGCTGTTATACCAAAGTTGCTAAATTATTCTGTTGCTATGTGTCGGAAGCAACTCAATTACTGGTAAATAAATATTTGTATACCTGGTAAGACATATAATCGACCATCTGATGTAGTTAACTGTAGGGACACTTCTACTGCATTAAATCCTCTATAAGAGAATTTAATAAATACAGAATTTCCTTTCTGATCTGTACCATAGAAAAGTATGGTGTTACTACTCTGAATATAAATAAAAATCGTTAATTATATTAATGATTATATAAAAATGAAGTAATAGCTTTGTTCACGTGAAATTATTAAATTTCATTTTAGTCTTAGGATGAACACTAAACATTTGTAGTGTTTACTTAAAAAATTGTTAACATGCGAACAAATGTCTTATAAATGATAATTAATAACAATCAATTATGAGTGATTATAATAAATTCACTAAATATGTTGAGATAACATTTCTTTTTCATATTCTTCGAATACAAATTTATCATAAATAGTTTTTAAAATTATAAATCTTTTAGTATTCGTGTTAATCTTTTATAATTTTATTATTATTGTGGACACGTTGTAAGACTAAAAAGAATTTTAATAATTAGAGATTGCAATTGTTATTTTTGCTGAAACAAAAAGACAAAGAAAAAATATTTACATCTTTGTCTTTGATTTTCGAACTGCTTAAATAATTGTTTTTACAATTATGCAAATTTGTTTTCTTCTTCTTTCTCGCATTGATACAACGCTCTGCCCACCAACGTTTTAATAAGAAACGAACACCTACAAGCAATTGTTATTAGTGGAATTTTATGCATTTATGGCGTATACCAACATGAAATACATACTAAACTATATAATATCAATGTTAGATTATATTAGTTTACAAAATAGATTTCAAATTTAATGAGTGATGTCGGGACATCGGAATCTTCGGATTTTCTCCTTATCGTATGTCGACTATTTTTAGCATAAAAATAAATATTATTTGCAATCAGAGTTACTAACTGTACTCTTTTAAGAAAACATAACCAGTTCATTAAATCAAGACTATTACGTACATTGCATATTAATTTATTGCATAATGCGAATGTGATTTTAAAGTTTTTGTATTCCAAGTATTAGAATACGTCGTAATATTAAATTATTTTTTATAAACTTAAAAGTTGTTTAATAAGCAAACAAATGTTTTATAAATACTAATCATCAATTAACCAAAAAAATTTGTTTAATTAGGATACTATGTGCAACACAAAATAAAAGTAAGGGTGGAAGAACTTGGAGCATATTCAAATTTTTCGAACAGGGCACCAAAGTGGCTAAAGTTGTGACTGTCATAAAATTGAATTTTTTCTTTATTGAGAAAGATAAAGAATAAACTTATTTAATTTTTTTATCAAAATTGAATTCGATCTTGAGATGAAAATGTAATGTTTATATGTATATGAACTTCCATCGAAATCCATTTAGCCGTTAAAACGCAATAGTTTTAAGACATCCATCAAAACGTATTTTTCCCGCGAAAAAAATATTGACATTTTTCTCTATTACGTCTTTCTTTATACGTTGTAAAGTAAAATTACTTACGTGAAATTTTGCATTCCGAGTCCAGGCATAGTGGTTTTTTTATTTCATTACTAAACCAAAAATATAGCAGCAAAGGGAAAAGTATAGAAAATGCAATTTTAATGAGTAGAATATTGTCCATTTTGAAGTATTTGTTTTGATCAATTATAATTTTATAGTAAATATCAGTAACTATAGATGTAGGTATATCAGATGAATTTGAACTTCAGTTAGCTAACTTTCAGGTACAATAGATAAAACCATAAAACTGTTAATGCAACAGATAAAATAATAGAATTATACGTGATTTATAGTTCCAATCGATCGTCGATGATTTCCTGCTAGTTAATGAGGCGGTCTACGTTTTTAATATTTGACGTTATCTTTCAATCCGTTCCCAGCGTAAAACACTTGTAAGCACGTTGAAAGTTATGCTACAAGTTAGTTGATCATCTTGGATCTCTGTTTATGTAGTAATGGAGTTGACCTCGACAAAGCTTACGTAATCTAATCATACGTTCCTCTTTTTCCAATTCCCATCAGTTCTCTCAAAATATCCTACCATGATAACTGTTCACCTTGATATAGCGCAACGTTCTTGTACTCTCATTTTGTTTTCGCTTTTGTTGTTTAATAAGAAAAAAAAATAAATAAAATAAAAATCTAAAGTCATAGAATACTATAACTATGTTGAAACAAAAAATTTAACTAGTTGTGAGTAATTTGAATGGGGTCTGATATAAGAAATTCGTATATTATCCCCACTGTTTGCAGCAATTCCATTGAATTCCGATTTATGATCCTTATATGCGCTTAACGAATCGAATATCTATCGCTTGTTTCACTCGAAGGAACAATAATAAATGAGTATTCTTGACACCTCCACTCAAAGTACAGATTTATTTATCTTGGACACACCAGAAAATAATTTAATACTACGTACAAATACAAATTCGAGTAAAAACAGACTCATCGAATCAAATCCAATCGTTCAATTGATACTGACGAAACAGGATTTTGTTGTAAATGTCGCTTCGTTACGCTAAAAATAAATAGATTTCACAGCGATGTCACTCACCAACAAATCATTACTTTATAGTTGTTCTCAGGAATGCAAATATATAACAAGCGATTAATACTTCAAACATTTAGGCGTATGCCATACCGTCACAAATTATTCCGATTGTTGTTAAGCAACTATCGATAATTCAATCTATGTTATACATACAAAAGGAACAAAAATATTGCATGAATTTATTCTAATCTGTCTTTTTGTTCGAATCGTTATACTCAACACACTCTTCGCCAACAGAGTCCATGTCTGGACGAGACTTGTCTACCGGATATAGCCTGAAAATAAAACAGTTATTCGTGAAAGTATGTCTGGACAATGTGGCACAAATGAGAAAATATGACTCACCATCGTTGATACAAATAAATTAGAAAAACTGCGTCATCCCGAAAACAAGCTATTCGATGAGCTGTCGGCGTAACGATTATGAATGCGAATATATCGTCGATAAAAGTGTTGAAGGCTTTGTACATAAATGTTCGCCACGGTAAATGTGCTACGGACTTCAATTTATAATTAACAAATAATTGGGGAAGCATGAACAAAAATCCGAACGCGTAAACGCCGTTCACTAACGCATTTATGCTCCACGAATACCAGCTGAAAATTCAAATATTTAATAAGTATTTATACGTCCTTCAGGTAGATATGAGCAAATTTAGATAAGAAATTTCGAATGACAAATAAAAGAAACAATTTTGATCGTGTCTTTCTTCAATAAAAGTGACAATCTAAGTTATCTAGTCATGCGACGTTTCTTATCTGAATATCTCTTTTATGAAATAAATTATGTAAATAAATCGCTACGCGGAGTTTTTATTCGTTACATACTATTCGAATAAAATGTTGGGTATCTATGACTTTTGGATAGATTAGAAAATAACTGTGTACCTTTTATGAGGTTGATACAGTAAAGAATAAATTGCACCTCCGATAACAAGAGGATATAACAAGTAACTCAAATAACGCATGCTCTCTGCATCGAATTCTCTTGTTCTGACTTCAGCCACGTTATTATGATTTTTATTAAATCTAAGATTCAATACCTTCTTCAGTTTCCATATCTGTTAGAGTATGAATTTAAATGGCATGTAAGTACAAATTATTATACAAATACAAATGACATGTAAACAGCCATCAATAGATAATATTTTTACCTCAATCAAAGATCCAATTCCAGTTGGAATAAGAACAAGCATAGAGGAACCATCATCCAGCAAGTAGAGGAAAACAATACCTTGACTAAATCCCCGCCATAGAACAGTCCATTTGCTGAGACCCACAAGATTATCTTTTCTCCTCCAATAACTGACATCATTTTTAAAGGCGAGAAAATCAAACAGTAACTATGATAATACCAAATGTCATAGCATTATATGTATTATAAATTTTCTTTTATCTATTATTTGATTCAAATATTGTAGCATGTGTAATTTCAACCTTTAATTTAAGTATTTGTTCATTTAGATATGTTAATTATTAAATTATCGATATTTTCAGGTATTAATAATTAACATTTTTGTACTGAAAACGGTCTAAATTAAGGGTTGAAATGTTTATTAAACAAACATAGTTTTTGTAGTAATTGTATATGCTATAATATTAGTTTTGGATATTACAAGTAAAATATGTACTTGTACTACTACTTCATTTACATACATGAATGGATGCAATGAAGATAGTTCCTCCTAGAATATATATATTAGTGTCTGCAAAAATTCCTTTCACTTCATCTATATTTTTATCAGAAAATTGAAGTTTTCTCAAGGTCTGCATTGTTTCTTCCACCTGTAATATCAGTCTTAATTTTCCAAAGGAAATTGGAGAATAATACAATGTAATGTTAACTGTGTTATTCCGAGGTGTGATTTTCACCAAATCACGATGTCGAGTTTGTAGAAAATCATTGTTAATAATAGGTAAAAATGTTCTTCCATGTATTATTCTAAAAAATACAAGCATGTCACATGTTTATCTTGAAGTAACAATCAGCAGAAGCAATAAAGGTACTAATTACGTACTTAAGATGATTGACAAGCTCCATTGGTACTTTATTTACAGGGAGCTCCACATCATCTGTCATTACTACGAATGTAACACGGCTCTTAATATGTGTCACTGGACGAGTAAAATCCTCTTTCTTTTTCTTTGTATCTGCATCTTTCTCACCCAATAACTTAAATGCCTCTGCTTCAGGAATGACATATTCTGTCAATTTAATTGCAATGTAGGATACATATGGATCCTGAAATATAATTGCATTAAACAAATGCATTATGGTCTTAATATTAATACTATGTGGTCATAAGCTGAGGCTCAACAAAAATGTAGTGGGATAACAAAATCTAGACCACAAAGGATAAGTATACTATTACAAATTTACAGATAGCTTTATAAATTTCTGCTTTATGTAACATCATCAGAATAAATGAATTTGCAAAGGCAGAAACTATCCATAATTTGCCTTCTTTTTCATACAAACCTTCTGTATATCAATAATGCTTTTCCCATATCTCTTGGAGCTAGGAGCAAGAATGACATGAAGAAATAATGTTCCATTGTTTCGAGTTCTGCGTGGAATGTTTAAAGTCACAGGACTGAAAGGAAAAATGTTTTGAATAAATGAATATTAATGAAATATAATGAAATATTTAACAAAATCAAACTGTTTCATTAGAATTAACTTTCAAGTGGGAGTTTCAACAATACTTACAAACTGCTTTCATGTGTATAATTAAAATCTTCGGTTTGATAAACAAAATCGAGTTGCCTGTCTGTGGGGTATATGTCAACAGAACTGTAAATTTGCAATTGCAGACGTGGCTTTTGAGTCAGATAATAAGTCAGACAGGGTTTGTCTGGTTCACAGGACGGTGCAGCGAAGAGCAGGAACAAATGATAAATAGAATAGGCGATATAAGCTAAAAAAATTTTTGTCAATATTAAACTTAACGACGGCCACCGCATCTTTTCGTGTCCTTGTTAAAATTTTGTCGACATTATCGTCTTGATTCGTAATTAAGGTACTATAGTCGATGTCACGATGAATCCTGGCGAAAATTGTGGTTGTCGCGTGCAAATTCCTTTTGGGCCGTGGATATTGTTATAACGAGGTCGAGTTCGTTCACCTTTTATCGACACGAATCGCGTGGATATCGTTCGTCAACCTTGTTGGTCATACAAATTAACCGATAAATGTAGACAAATCGAGTCCATGTTCGCCGATAATCAGGTACAATTGTACTTTAGTAGCGCAGGTTGGATTCTTCAATCCACGTTTTTAATTCCTCCGCAGTTCATACGAGGCGCTAGTAAACATCATAGTATACGCTTATCTAGCGTATCCAGTGATCACCACTAATCCATTATGGAAATTTTAATATCGGTAAGTCTATGAAGAATAGATAATACCCTCGGTAGGTAAGACGCACTAGAATCCTCTGTACTATTAGAGTTTAGTGGTAAGTAATCACTGGAGCAGCGCCGGTGTCGCCATCACCAGTATAAAAGTATAAGCTTATTGCTATCGAATCGAATGATAAACTGATAATACAATTGGACTGATTTATTATTGTAATAATAAATGACGCGAGGGTGAGGTTGAGACACTGGTCTGAATCAGTTGTAATTTGTAATGTTTACTGATGTTTACTAGTTTAATGAAGTTTACTAGACTACTTACCAAATGTGTATCAACTAAAAACGTGGATTTACGTGGATTCAACATATTGCATCTACAGTGACCTACAGTTGCATCTGCATAGCAAGTGTCAAAACCTCAAAAACATGTCAGACATGAAGCAAAAAATTATACAGAAATTTAATGTAGAATTGGGTTCTGATTTAAAAGGACTTGAAAAAATATATGAATTTCATCAGCGTTTGAATCTTCAAAAGAATGAAATTGAAAAATCGGTACAATTTGATGGAGTTTTATGTTATTTAAATTAAACTTTGTAACATATATGTTTCAAATATTCTCATATATATATATATATATATATTTCACATTTCTGTTGTTTGTTTTTAAAAATTTAGTTTAGAAATTAAAACAATTGTTAAGTAATTATTTTACAATTTTTAGTTATCAATGGCATCATCTGAAGCTCCTTCAAAAGTGAAAGTAGTTATACAAAGTGTTGAAAGAATAAGTATTGAATTTGAACAATTAGGAAAATGCTCAGAAAAATTCAGGAGTAGTATACAAGAAATAACGAGTGAAAAAGGTAGCAATTTAGATATACAAGAAATTATTAACACGATAAGTTACTTGGATAAATCCTTGGCTTACTTGCATTTTATAAAATATGTAGAAAATATTAGGTAAGTTTTCATCTAGTTATGTATTTTGATATGATGTATATTTTATACTTTAATATTTTAATAATTTAAAGAAATATTTTTTCAGCGATGAAATACAAGTATCATTAGCAGCTAATGATGATGAGTCCACCATTTCATTATATACAAATCTTACAGATATTAGTTGTCAATTACAATTGTCCACTTGTCATTATCTTGTAAATTATGTGAGAGACACACTTCATTTTTGGCACAATCTCATCAAGGATAAATTATCAAAGTATATTCTTTATGTATATACTCTCTAAAATTAATATAGAGTAAGTCCTCCACTTACACAGTTAATTTATTTCAAACATTTCCATGTAATTCGAACCTGCATAAATATTGTAGAAAGAGAGAAATAGAAAAGTCAAACCAAGGTTAACAATAATATGATACCACTGTTAAGGAAAGTGTGAGTAGCATAGTTAATTTTTGTTTAAACGCAGACTTTTTGAAGGTTGGTGGTTGACATGGTATGACTAGTGATAAAAATTGAAAAAAGGCAACTATTTGATTTGTGAATACATGTATACATGCAAAGTATATATATAAGAATAAAAGTGGGAGCCAATCAGATACCTACAAATTTGTGTAACTCGAGGACTCACTGTAATATAATAAGTAACATGAAGTATGTATAGGGTAATTTTTATGCAGTAGTCAATTCCATTATTTATAGAGTATGAAAATGTTTGGCAAAACTGTAGGATGGAAAATGTAACATTTAATTTAAAGAAACAATGTAGATCTTGGAATGTTTTTGTGCTTCTATCTAAAAAAGAATTTCTACTGCAAAATGTCTACTTTTTAATTAATTATTCTATATATGGACATTATTTTGTATTTTCTAAAACTGAAGTTAAATTACCTTATACATAGTGATTTTTGAAAATGAAAAATATCTAGACCATATTCATATAAAAATATATACACCATGTTTGAAAATTATTCACCAGATTATAAACAAAATTAAAAATTCATTTGTGTAACATGTTTGATAACTTCCTTTGGTTTTTTGAGAATTTTCTTTTGTCTTTACTAGACTACTTATCCACATCTCACATTTTTGAGAGCCTTATACCAATGAAAAAGAATATTTTTATTTATGTATACATACAATTTTCAGAGAATATAATGATATACTAAAGGCATTAAAGTGGCCCTTTTGTGGGAATAATTCAAATGCAATAAATACATATACACCAGAAACATTAACTAAATTTAAAATACTTACAGAATATCTATTACATTTACAATTACCGTATCCTTACATAACAGTTCTTTGCACTCTACCTATTTCTTATCTATAGAGGTTGTACAGACCTAAGAGTATGCCATAAATTGTACAGAAGAAATGGTTTATCCTTAACAATACATATGTAGGGCAGATTCTACTAAGCCAGTGGTAACCTCAGTACTATTAACAGACTTTACACCTGTGAGTTTGCCAATTTCATTGATGGTACGGCCACTTAGACAAAGATTTATATATCACTTCACAGGTTCCAAATTAACAAACCGGCAAGATAAACCAGAATGGTTTTTCACTCAAATATTAACATGGATCAAAGATCATGTCCAATGGGTACAAAAGAATGTTCAACCTGTTGCAAATTCAATTGGTTTTAATCATATGGATATGAAGGTACTTTGAAAATATACTTTATTATTTTTGTATTGAAATATATTCTCTAAGATTTATATGAATTGTCTTACTTTGATAGGTAGAATTTATGCAGGCCTTAGTACAGTTAGCAGTTGAAAAACTTCATTCAGAGTTGTCAGTAGTACAGTATGATGATGCTTTATTTGCTCATTTGGTGGACGAAGCTTTAGGTTTTGAGAGAGAATTAAGAGATACATTACTTTATCCTCCAACCCAGCCAGCCACTGTTTTTGTTCTTACACAAGCCCACATTTTTGTAAAATGGATTAATACTGAAAAAAAATGTAAGACTAAATAGTGTTATATATTTTTTAGTAATATTAACTAATATTAAAATATTAGATGCTACTGAGAAAATGGATGCGATTTTGAGTTCAAGTACTGCTTGGAAAAGGATATTGAACTCTGATGCTGATGATATGAAGGTAACTGAATGCGCGGACGCTTTCTTGTCTCTTCTTACAACAATCTCTGATAGATATAAACATTTACCTCAACCAGGTCACAGGTAAACTAATCAGATATATTAATTAATAATAAAGGGTATGCCTTCTAATCTATCTTCACTGAAATATTTTATTTGAAACAGTAGTAATATTATTAAATCAATATATCTAATTTATATAGATTACAATTTTTGGAGCTACAACTAGAACAAATCGATGACTGGAGAATAAGATTACTTCAATTACTACACGAAACTCATGAAGATCCTTTAACATCTCTCATGCCATGTATCCTTAATACATTGCATTATGTTGCAACTGTCTTGGAAGAATGGGGTGTGACAGTAGTAAATATTATAAACGCGAGCAATTACATACTTTTTACACTATTAATACATTATTAATTTCTTTTTCTTTATAGCATTTTTTGCAATTGTACTTTTTTAAAAAACAATTTGAAGCAGTCGAATCTGCTACATTAGAAGGAAGTGATATGACTGAAAGTGTAGGTGAAGTAGAGGGCTCTGTGTTTGATGATGCAGTTGCACTTTTAAGAAGATTAGAAAAAGAATTAATAAATGAAATTAGCGATTCTGTAGCTTTAGACGTAAAGGCAAGGAGTAGACCTTATAGGACAGATAAGTAAGTATATTTAAAATAAGAATGAAAATAAATGATAAATAAATCGTTGAAAGTGTTATTTGCAAACAAAAATGATAATATTTCACTTCTAAAAGTATAGTCTTGAATACAATATAAAACAAACAACTTTTATAGATGGTTCGCAATGCAATCTGTTAAAGAAGTAGTTTCTTTGTCGGTTACTTCCAGTGGATATTCTATGTTTCAAGAATTAGCAACAAAGCTCAATTTACTGTACGACGCACTTGCCTTACCACTATTTAATCAGGCTTGGAAAAGTTTAGCTTCCCAGTTTGATCAAGTTAGTTAAGAAATTATAACTAATTATATACTATTTATTATTTACTATTTACATACACAAAATGAATACTACATAAGGCATTTCATGTAGTTGAGGTTTTTTTGTTTTATTACAGTTTCTTCTAGAAGAAGTTGTTCTAGTGAATCATTTTAATACAGGTGGAGCCGAGCAACTAGAATATGATATTTTCAGAAATTTATTTCCATTATTCGGCTTGTACATTAACAAACCAGAATCATATTTTCCTCTGTGAGTTACAAATAACAATATAAAGGGTTTTCTGAAAAGAGCTTTAGGATTTTGTTTTGTCCTCTACGACTGCGTTAACAGGCGTATTTTATTATTAAAAAATAAAATTAAAGCTCTGTTTGAAAAATCCTTTATATTTAACTGCTATGCTGGATACTAAGTATTTCATCTTTTTATTATTTTATTTCAGGATTAAAGAAGCATGTATTTTATTAAATATTTTGTTAGGTTCGGCAATGTTATTAATTGAAGCTCTGAACAATGATGACGAGACTGCAGGAAAAGAAATATTAGCGGACATCGGTATTCATAAAATGTCTCCAGAACTTGCTTTGAAAGTACTTGGAACGAGAACAGATATCACCTATGTATAAAAAAGAATTTTTCGTGTACATTATAAAAATTTAATATATTTTTAAAGATTAATTAATTCTACATAAATTTATTTTAAATCTTTGGAAAAATTATTAATATGTGAGATTCAGCAAATTAACGTAATACCGCCATTATCTGCGCCTAAAAGTAATAACCGATTAAGAGGAAGAACTGCCATTGTAGTAAGAAGTCCTTTAAATGTGTCGGATTTCAACTTTGATGATGAGAATGATGCTGTTGTTTCTATGGATGTGTAAACTCCCACACGATTTGCTGTTGTTCCTATTATGAGTTCTTGCTCGTAAGTGGACATACAATGAACTGGTTCTGTGGATCCTCTACAAAATTTAAATCAATATTGTAAGTAAACAAGAAAATTTTTAATTTATATTGACATGGGATAATGATTCCAAAAGTAGGTCCTATACTTTACAAATTCTCTATATAGCTTAATGACAAAAATGAACATCATATGGAATCTCACTTCATATGGAATTTAAGTTTTCCATCCAATGCACTCCACACCGTGATAGTTTCATCTAATGAAGAACTAACTATAGTTGTTTCATTTATAGCTACTAATTGTAATATCTGAAAAAAATAACAAATTAAAGTTTTTAAAATTGTGAATAATTTAAATATAATACATACTTCGCATTCATGGCCCTTCCATGACGCAATAATAAGACCTGTACGAGTATCTAAAATTGTTAAAAACCCTGATGCTTGACCTAGTGCTACCCAGTAGCCACTAGGTGCTACAGCAATGCACCTAATTAAGCCTGTTGGATTTACAGATACCTAAAAGGAAAATTATCATTCTTAATTTATAAAATCTTTAATATTGTATATTTAACAGATTTATTAATGCATACCTTCATTTCATTTACATACTGAAACGTTCTACAGTCAATAACTCTGAGAGTAATGTCAGTTGTTCCCGCAAGTAAAGTTGTACATGGAGGAGGGCTTGCTGTTAATGTATTTACAGGAACAGGGCGAGAGCTTTCTGGACATCCAAGGAGAGAACCCATGAAAGGATCCCAACAATGAATTGTGCCATCGCAAGTAACTACATATCTTAAAGATTCTAGGAATGTAAGGGCAAGAATAGATTTTTTGTGCCCAGTGTAAGTATATTGACAAGGTGAAACAGTGTTTCCATCACCCTATTCATAGAATATATTATTTAGGAATTAATAATTTAATTTCGATTTCAACATATCTAAATATATATATATATATATATCTATACATATATGTTAATGTACAATATTGTGTATATTACCTGACTTCTTAAACTCCATAATTTAACAGTCTTATCTCTTCCACCGCTTATAAAACTATTCTCATTATCTAATGCATATAAACATCTAATACTGTTAGTATGACCACTAAATGTTTGAAGCTTTATTTGTTTTATATTAAATGCTACATCCTTGTCTGATCTTCCAATTTCATGTTCCCAGTATGCTAACCAATTCCCTCGTAACTGTCTCCCAGTATATGTAGAAATGGTTTCACGATTCGACATGATATTTTCTGACGTTGCACTGTTCCCGGCATCATTCTTTTGTACCGCAAATCTATTTCCTACCACTGATATATTTCCAAAACTGGAAACATCTTTATGGGCTAATCCTGTGCTTTCTGTTACATTATAATTACTGTTGTATAGAATATTATGATTGCTACCATCTTTAACAAAGTCAAAGAAAATAGTAAATAAACATATAATAAACAAATTTTAAATAAAATAATTATTTATATACATATAAATTTAATGAAAGAGATACAACATACCGGCATACGATGATGGCATTTTTGTTTCTTGTTCATATTTATAGCACAAATGATGTATATGTTCATAATTTTTGAGTATTTGTTCCATTACTTCACTGTCAATACATTTGTAAAAGAGCATGTATGCTTTATGAGCAAATTCTGCTGTAAATACAGCTTTCAATTCTTCAAGTGCCTGAAAATATATTTAATATCAGTATAATGTAATAACTAATAATTTTAAGTTCGTCAATATCTCGATAATCTTTATTTACTTTATTTTTTTGCGAATCCGATACATCTATATTTTCTAAAACTGGTGGAGAATAAGAATCAGTAACATTTGTGTTGAAATTTGGTTGAAGTCTCTGTGCATCCTTGTCTGAATTTGTACACTTTATACTGTGAACATACATTTGTATCAAGCATCATTGGATTTTATATTTTTATAGTAGAGATACTAATTTTATAAAATTACCTCACAAAATGTTCACTTGTTGTTTTTTGATTGATTTCACTTTTAAAATCTTCAACATCGTTATGATTAAATGATTTATTGAATGTTAAGAAAAATCGTTGAATAGGTACTGCTAAATGATTCTTTACAACAATGTTCCCCAATCGTAAACTAAGCATGAATAGAGTCTCTAAACATTTTTCAGCGAGTACAGCACGTGCAGCGATACCATTAGGAAAAGTAAATCGCGTAGATGATAATATACGAACTGTAGGATGTAGTATTGATTTCACAATCGGTTCCTATAATTGAAGGCTTAGAGATCAGTTTTTTTTTTTTACTAAATGCATGGTTTTAGTGTTAAAAAGGCCTATATCAAATACTCTTACATGAAGTACATCCATTAACGTTGTGTCATTGAGGTATGCCGTAATGTGGTTTAAAAGAGTTAGACATGAGATAAGTCCACCTTCTAAATTTTGTGTTAGTTTTCTTTTACAAAGAATTAACAGTTCCACCATATGTGCGAAATACTGCAATACTATTATTTGTTCTCCATATAAACCTGTGCAAGAAATGCTTAATATTTATTTACTTGTAGAAAGTGATTTAATAATTAGCTAATATAAATACTATTTTTGTATAAACAAATTAACCTGCAATAGCCGCAAGACACTCCAAAACTTTTACAGCGTTACGATCGCCAACTAAAACTTTTTTATTCCAAGTAATACCTTGCATCGATGCCAAAGTATCATCGATTATTATTAAATTTTCCTTTCCAGTATAACACAATGCGAGCATTCTTAATAAATTTCGCGACAAATATCGGGCAGTAAGCACAGGACCAAGTCGATGAGATAACCAAATAATAGATCCTGCACTCATTTCCGAAGTTGTACATTCATTCAATGTAGATTTTTGATAAATATGATCTATGTGAACGTCTTCGTGTATCACCGTATCGGATTTAATATCATCTGTTTGTAGTATAGTAGAATTTTGTTCTTCTGTATTAGAAATTTCTTCAAACATATTTCTATAATCGGTAATTCCACCATAACTATCATTGCATACAAATTCTTCGTTAGACGATTTACTTCCTACGTTGCAACTAATATTACTAAATTCTGTTATTAATTTATTTGGCGAATTGGATGTTTTCGGTATAGGAATTGTCGGTGATTTAACTGATTTGAACGGTGAAACTTTGTTTCCTTCTTCATTTATATCATCGTTAAGATTTAGATCTATATGTAAATCAATATCATACAGTGTACTAGAATTCAAAGAAATCCAAGAATTGTCTTTTGTTTCTATTGTGAATACTTCTGAAACAGATAAAATTTTTTAGGATATCTCACAATGTTTTGATTATACATCAGATTTGACATACATAAACAGTATCAATTACCCTCAATATCATCGGTTAAATTCGTATTGTGCGTAATATCACTAGTTACAGGTCCAGGCGATAAAGAAATATGTTCAGAATCTGCAGAGGAATCCTCATCTAGAGGTGACAAAATTCCTTCTCCATCGTTACCAATTTCATTTAAATTACAACTTCTTTAAAAAAGAATAAGTTATTTTAAAAAAATGGTTCGTAAAAATACTCATCCACTTAAAAAAGCATTCTTACTTAAGGTTGCCAGTTTTGTGGGTGTAAGATGAACACCCTTGTACGGAGTCTCTATATCCTCCAACTGCTTCTACAAGAGGTACAATAAAATTTTCCAAGAACCGACGTAGACCCAATCTCACTATAAGTTTTAACAAAAAATTTCTGTGGTATAATCGAGTAGTTCTAAATTTTGCAACTAATTCAGAAGAGAGTGTATCAACATATAGTGGACAATCCATAAAAGAACCATTTTCATATAACTTCATGATAGATGATAGAAATATCTCCACAGTATCTTTAGGACCCAATGCTCTAAAAAAATCAGGATTATTAAAACATAAGAAACTAGAAACCTGTACTTATAATGAATGGTTTAAAATGTATAAATTTTAACTTACTTAGCAATAGGATCAAATAGATACCAAGCAGCTAAGACAGCACTATAACGTTCTTCCATTATTTGCTGTATATGCGGCACTATCAATTCTAAGCTTGCTTCTCTTGCAACACCTGTGTGGGACAATAGATGATCTAATTCTCTAGCAATTGCTATAACTTTACACTCACTAATTTTACAAAGGAATTTCGTTTTTGTTTTAAGTATGATATCCGTATCATCTTCAGACTTCATTATAAAATTTAACTCGCGTGCTAAACTATTATATTCTTGTAACATTTCCACAATATTGAATAAATACTTGTAGTACTTCGAAAATGGAAATAAACTTCCAGAAAGCATTGGTTGAAGAAACTGATGGGCAGACGGTGGCGGTAATCCCATATGTGTAATAGTTGGATATCGAAACGGTGTATCGGTTACCTACGACATTAAATTTAACTTCAATTAGTTTAAATAAAGTTACATTTAAAAAATGACAATTTTTAAATGGCCAAACAATATTAGTCAAAGTAGCTAATAATTATTATTCAAAGTAGTACTTACTTCTACATTATTAATGTTATAACTTTTTGGTATGATATCAACTTGCAACAACAAAGCAACTGCATTTCTTACACACTTAGGTAAACTATCAGATGACATTTTCAATATTTTCAAACAGACATTAAGTCTTTTCGCAAATGACACTTTTTCAACATTCCACGTTGCTCGAAATTTACTTGACAAAAATATTTCCAAAATTAGACAACCCAGCATTTGTTGTTCTTTAATACGTCCGCAAGCCACAATTTGTTTGTAATTTGTAGATGACTCGTGCAATTCAATTTCTGGCTTATAAACTTGAGAGCTCACTTTGTTTATAAATGTATGCATAGTTTCTACTTGCAGAATAGCTGCAACCGGATTATAGTCTTTTGGAAGAATTATCGTCTGATTTGTCGATTTGTCTTGCTTGATAGTATCTTCGGTAGAAAGCAAAGAACCTCTAGAACGACTTAGTAATCGACTTAAGACTAAAGGTGACGATCTAGATGGATTTAAAATTGAAACCGGTAGTTCTTCTTCTTCAAATCCGGAACTATGACCTTCATCATCGCTAGCTCTATTCCCAGATTGTTCATTTTCTGTTATAAACATTATATAAATAGCAAGAAATTGAAGATATATCTTATTAGATAATTAAGAATTTCATAAACATACTATATTTATTCATTACAAAAGATGAACGTAACCGAGGTGGAATCTTACACCAATAAGGTGAGGGAATAATTTTTTGTGGATGTGGATGTGTAAAAAGTTGAACAACACCAGAATTGGTCAGGCTGGTATGATTATCAACAAGATGCAAGCAAACGTTTTTTGACTTTACCGCTGCTGATCCGGATAATCTGTAAAACGAAAAACCCAAACAATAATAATTACATTGATGTTATTTGTTAATATTTTAGAACAAATAATATATACTTGTAGCCGAATGTTAAATCTATCCAATGGTGCAGTCTTTCGGATACATAAAAACTTTCCAAAGCCTCTCTATGTTTTTCAATAAAATCTTCTGGAGATGTTGCCCATGCAGGAATTTCTAAATCTGGTAAATCTTCATGAATAGACTGTAAATAAGAGGTTTCAAGAAACTCTTTTTATACCTTATATGTATGTATTTTAATTAATTATTTTATCTTGCCTTAAAAACACTAGGGTCTGTAAAAAATTGTGGTACACATTCATCTGGACTCCAGTCATGTAATCTTTGTATAGAAGCAGGATATTCTCCTGGAACCCATTGAGGTCGTACATGTTTGCAAAGAACAGATTTATTATAACGACGCGAGAGATAAACATAATATGTAATCTCTGACAAAACATCCGACACATGGTGTCCTACCTAAAAGTATTGGTGTATTAGTCTTAATAATATACTTATTTTATTTGTATAGATTTTATTTATGGATGGTTTTAAGTACTCACTTCAACAGATTGAGAATCAAATGTGAAATCTAACTGTCTGTCACCCTTATTTAATCGAAATTTGGATTTTGTTAAATCTCGCCAATTACTACCGCATCTTGATGTAAAATCTGTGACCCAAGGCATAACATGATGGCAACTTGGATCTCCATATCTTCTACCAGCCATATTATTTAAAGCAGTTAAATAATCGTAGTTACTAATACAATTATAGACCCACATTTCACACAATTTTTCGATACTTTCATTCTTTCCAAATTCGTGATTTCCTTGTGACATATTGTCCAATGGAGTCATATCAACATTTTTCTTGTACCCATTGAAATGTTTGCTCTTGATGTCTTGACTGTTGGAGTTTTTGTGAAGTTCATTTTCAGGTTTTACATATACATTATCACTTAATTTTGGTAAAACCTATTGAAAACGTTACAAAAATTATTAAAATTTAAATGGAAAATTGAATAATAAAACATATGTATAGAAAAATATGTAAACATTTGCCTGTATAGTAAAATTATCCATAAGTAATACATCACTAAGCGTGACTTCACCCAATACAAGGCCACGATCATGCAAATCTCTGCATAATTGTAATAGTTGGTATATTAGAAACAATGCTTTACCATGACTCATATTTAAAGCAGCTGGACTATACATCACACACCTTTAACAACAATTAAATTGTTTAGTACAAATAACAGAAATAATACTTATGGTCTTATACAAATATATAATATATACTTACTCACGAACAGAATATTCTGCAGTTTGTTCATACAATGTTATGAAAGCAGATGTTGTTTCAACAGCAAAATGTATTGGAAGAAGATTACAATGTACTTCAACTGATACGCCAGGTACTACAGATATAACTGATCCATTTTGAACTTGTACTAAAGTACAACCATACATTTTTTGTAGTACTTCTTGCATAATTGATGTATCACTTACATTAGCAGTTATATTGCATTGATCTTTGTGGTCTACACAATTCCACGGATCTAATAATTTAATATTTTTTTTAATATTTACATTTACTGTATTTTAATTAATCAGTTATATTATACATTTTTATTTAAAAAATACATACTATAATATTTTTTATAACAATCCTTCCAAAGATTGCGATAATTGGTTTCCACAACATAATGTAGTAATTGTGAAAATGTTAAATCTGCTTGAGTATTTCCATTTGATGAATGTCTTCCTCTTGGAAGTGGAACTGCATATTTATGTTGTTTCTCATAGATCTAATAATCATATTTTTCTTTTATTTACATAATAATTTGAAAACAAAAATAGAATTGAATTCACTTAATCAAGTCATTATTAGGTAACTTTGATTGCCAAAATTAAAGCCAGTGATTCATCTTTTAATTTACCCAATTTTTCTACTTACAATAAAAACCTACATACTTTGACATATACTTTTATCCAGTTTGAGCCTAATTCCTCAAGCAAAGGTTGTGCTGCAATTTCATCTTCTGTTAATCGTTCATGATTAATGAACGAAATTGGACCAATAGTAAGTAAACCAGTTAGCCAGTTTTTGTGAACAGTTAAACATATTCTGTCATCCGTTACTTTAATATGTTTTGCTGGTACAAGCAACTCTTTCTTTATTATATCCATTTTCTAATTTCTCGATTCTACGTTCACTTAGAAAAGGAACTATTGCATTTGGTTAATTTATCATTTTTGCACTGTTTTATGCAGAATATGATTGAACTACGCAACACCATATACGTTTTCCATTTGTTTATTATTATCTTAATTTAATCGTTCGACTCAAACGCGAGTGACAAGTAGGAAATGAACAGCTGATAGTTGATCCTACACAGCTATATAAACATATATGTATACACCTACATATATGATTACAAGTTGGTATAAAATTAGTAGCGCTGCGTGGGAAAAATTGACCCAACTAAAATCTACTAGAATCTACCTATCATCTAT